AGGGCAGCTCATTCCACAGGGCCGGAGCGGCAACAGAGAAGGCCCTACTCCTAGACATCGCCAGCCGGCATTGTCCTCCTGGCGGCACCCTGAGAAGGCCCATCCTGTGCGATCTTATTGGTCTTATTAGATTAGCTGCTTAAAGCTTAAGTAAAATTTTGAGGAATTTTTTCAGCATGTGTGCTGATATTTAGAGATAAAGGTATCCAGACTTTGTGTCAGAATCAGCTTTAGCTAAATTTTGACATTGCACATACTGTTCAATCCTGTATAAATACAGTAGTTTGCTTTTGGTCTCTCTTGGTATATGGTAAAATAGATTTCTCCTCTGGATAGCTGTAAAACCAATTCAAATACACTAATCCCTTTAACTGACCCCCTAAGAATCTATTGTAGTGCACTTCTGGCTTTTCAAGTTTTGGTTAGGTATGCCCACTTCTGTTTTTTTTTTTTATATATATCCATAAAGATAGCAGGATATGCTTTTAACAAAGAAAACAAAAGGATTTGTGTCCACGCCCAACTGATTCTTGTATTAGAACACATTGCATTTATGCTGCTCTACAGTGGAATTATGGAATACTAAGAATCTTAAAGTAAATGTACAAAGAAGGGTTGGTGTCCTTATGCCCTTCTTTGAGGCATATCCTAATAATTGTACTGGTTATTGTGAAAACAAAGAAGGAAGTTGGCCTAAAACACTTAAAAATGTAAGTGTTTCTTAAACTTTTTTTGCTCATGACATACTTCCTCCTGTGGGCTTTGTGCAGGTCCCATTACCACTGAAAAAGATTGCCACTTCCACACGCATAAATAGAATATTTGTTTTTATTTATAATAAAAGCAAGATTTGCAGTATACAGGTAGTTCCTGATTTACAACCATAGTTGGGACCAGAACATCCATTGCTAAGCGATGTAGCTGCTAAATGAGACACATTTGGTTTTACAATCTTTTTTGCCATGGTCATTAAGCAAATCTGGCTGCCTCCCATGACTTTGCTTGTTGGAAGCCCCTGGAGAAGGTTGCAAATGGCCGCAGTTGTCTTAAACACATTCCAGTTATTAAACGCCTAGATTTTGATCCTGTGATCTGAAGGTCATTGCAACGGTTGTAAGCGCTAGGTGTTTTGTTCTCATTACACATTACTCTGTGTGTAGCTCGAGATGCAGCTAAACTCTGCTATCCTTTAATAAGCTAGACTCTAAACGTAAATATTGATACTTTATTAAAGAACAGGCTAGGGTGAAACAGCGATGCCATGTATAGGATAGATTTGTTTTTCAGAACATGTGGAAAATTAAGTTGGATTCTTCTAGATGTTTCTGTTACCTCAGAACATTACAAAATGGAGTCTGGCTTCTCAGGATGTCCCTTTCCCCCCCCAGAATGAGGGATAATAGGAATATGGGTGCCCTATAGGGTCAAACTTCATCAAACTAGTTTCCCAACAGTGAAAGATTGTGTTTGGCTACCAGATGGAGCTCAACACACATTAAAGAACAACAGCAATAAAAATACGAACTATATCCTCGAGGCATGACACAGGGACTGGTTATAAGTCACTTTTTTCAGTGCCATAGTAATTTTAAATGTTGTTAAATGTAAGTTGAGGACTCCCTGTAATACAGCTTGCTTTTCTTTTGCCCTCTTTGGCATATGATCTGGCCTTACATTATGTGTTTTTCACCATGGCTCCCTTGAAATATCTTAGGGTCACCAGATATAGGCAAGATGATATAATCTTCATGTCTTTTTAGGAGCATCCCAGAAACTATTGGCCGGCAACAACGAGGACACCAAAAAATGTAGAGTGACCCGAACTGAAGTGGCATAATCTCTGGTTTCATGTTTCCCCCTGGCCTTCATTTGTGGCTCTTGAACCATGCTCATTCCCAAGCTAACGCTATCACACCCAAACCAAAAACATGATGAGTTGGGATGAACTATATTAACCTGTCCTGTTGTGGAGAGGCCCCTAGGCCACTGGAAGGTCTTCAGGGTCTGCTAAGATTGAACTGTAAAATGAAGGGTGCCCCACAGCTGAGAAAGGTTGCTTGTCTATGATCTTTCCCATCTTCTCCGGATTGAGGCCATGCCCTTCTGCCCCTGACCTATAGCTGTCTTTTAGAAAATGGATGGTGTGGATAAATAAACCCCTATTCCTATCTTGTAGGGGTGGCTATTAGACTGATTCCCTTCCATGGATCAAA